GTGTGTGCCACCACACCCGGCAATACAGAACTTGTGTTTTTGACTCCCCAGAGTGGCCCCAACTTTGGAAACAGTTCCTATGAGGGATGTCTCTTGTCCTTCAATCTCTCTCTCTCTCCCTCTCTCCTTTCTCTCTCTCTCATACACACACTTGGAATATTCAAGAACTCTTAACTATGGGCAGTAGGCCCTTAGGCACCTCCTATAAACCAATTAGCACTGTGTCACAGGGGACTGGTACCCCTCTTCCAGAGGCTGCCAGACTCCACCTCTGCTCTTGTTTCTAAGACCCCTGGACCCTGCCTGCCCCAACCAGCACGCTGCCTCATCCTGGCTCTCTCTAGCCTGTTACCTTCTGTCCTAGGGTGGGTAACAAGGGTGTTTTGCCTCCCCTACTGACTGGCCCTGTGTCCAGCAGGTCCTGCCTCCTATTACTTCCCACCAACCCCTTCCTGCTTGCTTTGGCCTAGTTGCTTATCTTTGTGGCTCAGTTCTCTTCATCTTCCCATTCCCAAAGGACCACAGTGGGCCTTGGAGGACTGGCAGCATAGCCCTGTCCTCCTGCCTCTAGGCACAACTCAGAGAGAGACAGGGCACAGGCAGCCCAGTGGAGCCTAGGATGCCCTTCCCAGGGCCCTGCTGCCTTCCTGCTTCCTGTCTGCTGTGGCAGTCAGCATGGCTATCTCTTTGGGCACATATCAGTGGGAATGGAGTGTCCACGTGTGGTGGATATAGGCTGTGCGTACTCATGTTCGCATTCTCCTGCTACTGCCCCTGAATGCTGGTCAGGGGGAGGTAAGAAGGGACTGGAGTGACAAGCAGGTGGGCAGACCTTTGGATGTGGTAGGAGGTGGCCTGGCAGCCATTCTTAAGGGAACTTCTGTTGTGTCTGCTGTGATATGGTTTTCAGAGCCTAGTCCAAGCCAGTCCAGGGTCCCAGCAAGGGTAGCAGCAGCAGGTGCTAAGAACACATTCACATGAGGACTTAGGGAACCAGGCCCTCCAAGGAAGGGTGCCAGTGTGTGTGTATTAGCACAGTAGCTTGTGCTGAGACCTGTCATTTGGGTTGAACAGTTGTCAGCTGGCTGGAGCTTCAGGGAGATGAAAGAGGTCTGTGAGGCCACTATACTAGGCTGGGGTCATATGACCCAGTGGCCAGATGGGAGACTGGCATTTTCTCACCAGGTCTACAAGTTGAGGGCTTTGTGTGCCCCCTGCCCGAGGCCTCTTCTGTGGGTGTCAGGCTACACTCTTGGGCCCTCACTTTATTTTTCTGTCCTGTCTCTACAGCCGTGGGTGGGGCCTATGCTTAGATGACTCTCCAGCTAAGGATATCATCGACTTCCCATCAGTGCCCCCTGGCGTCCTATATGACGTGAGCCACCAGTGCCGCCTCCAGTATGGGGCCTATTCAGCCTTCTGTGATGACATGGACGTGAGTGTGGGTGTCAGGGGCTCTAGGGGGCAGCCCACACCAGCCTGAGGATGCCAGACTGGGAGAAACCCTGCTTGTCTTGGGCTGGAACCCCAAGGGGCACAGTGATTCCTAGTGTGTTCTGTGGCAGAGGCCTGAGTTTCGGTGGCCACAGACCCAGGTCTAGATTCTAAGTCAACCCCTAGGGGACTTTGGGAAGTCCTTCAACCCATCTGGACCTGGCTTTGAAGAGAGAAACTAAAACCTGCCCTTCAGGGTCCTGAGGAGGTACTTGTGAAGATGAGGCTTAGGGTTCTATCTGGAGTGTTTCAAGAGGTGTAGCCTGGGGCTGGAAGAAGTGTGACCAGGTGGAGCCTGGACTTAGCACCCACCCAAGCCTGGAGGGCAGCCCTGTGCCAAGGGCCCTTTGATACCACAGGCTGAGAGGGAGGGGCAGGAGAGGAGCAGACACAGAAGACTAGGCTTTCCAGGGGTCCTCACCTCTGCAAATTCACATGCTGTGCCATTCCCGTGGAGGGGCGCCCAGGGGATCCTTGGGGACAGTGGGGACAGTGGGGACGGTGGCTGGCATCTCTGGGAGGGTGTGAGGATGTAGCGCATGTCTCCTCCTTACAGAATGTTTGCCATACTCTCTGGTGCTCAGTGGGGACCACCTGTCACTCCAAGCTAGATGCAGCTGTAGATGGCACCAGATGTGGAGAGAGCAAGGTAGGTGGGAACGCTCAGCTCTGGCTGTGTATACTGGGTGGGGGAGGCTGACTTCCCTCTCTGTCCATGCCCAGCCAGACCTCCCTTGGGTCAACTTTAGCTTACCATCTGGTGGTAATAGGATCCTCCCTCCCCAGTGTTCTCTGGCCCAAACTGTCATCTATAAAATGGAGTCACCTTCCTTTGAGTCAACATAGGTTCTATTTTACTCCTTGCTCAGCTTTAGTATTGGGTCTGGATTGTGGGTGACTCTAAGGGGTCTCATCTTACTTACACCTTCTATCTTCCTCTGTGTCTTTTGAGACCATCCTACCCACCTTGTTCTCACTAAGGTGAGGATGACTGGTAGGTGTGGGGGTTGGGTTGCTCTGCCTCCCATCTGTCTCAGTAGTGGTGTCTCAATGGAGAGTGCGTCCCTGTGGGCTTCCAGCCCGAGGCGGTGGACGGTGGCTGGTCCGGCTGGAGTGCCTGGTCTGTCTGCTCGAGGAGCTGTGGCATGGGTGTACAGAGTGCTGAACGACAGTGCACACAGCCTGTGTGAGTGCGGGGCCCAGGCTGGGGTAAGGGCCCTGGACAGAGCTGGCTGATAGCAGACTTAAACTCCCTCATAGCCTCTGACTTGTAGAAGTGTACCTAGAATGGCCAAGTACTGAGTGCCTAAGTCACCATGGGCCACTTCCAGGGAGTTTCTGGAAGTGTTCTTTAGTGCTGACCCCATTTCGGAGAGGGGAACTCTCTAAGAGCCTGGGAAGATGCACAAGAGGCTGCCTGGTGAAGCAATGACAGCTAGAGGGAGCTAGAGGGGCTATCGTAAATGCTTAGACCCTGCTCCTTGGAGGGCTCAGGGTTCAAATCCTCCTCTACCCTCACTGGGCCTCCTTTCTCTATCCCTTCTCTGAGCCTCAGTTTCCTAGGCTATATAATGGGATACTAGCTGAGCCCACCTAGTCAAATTACTATTGGGTGAAGCCAGGCAACACGGGTAAGGCACTGAATCCTCCCTATACTGTGGGGAGTGCTTAGCATGAGCTGCCTCAGGCATCCAAGGAAAGCTGGGGGAATTGAAGAGCACTGGAAGGGTGGCTGTGGCTTGGGGTGAGCTTCCTGTCTAAAAGGGATGCTGTGAAGACTCCATGAGACAAGGGGCTCCTGGGCCCAATTAAACAAACTTGGTTGATCAACTGCCAGGGTGGGCATGGGATTCACAGCTAGCTCCTGGGCTCTGTGTTTCACAAAGCCTGTGGCCTGTTCCCCTTCCCACACTCATCCTCCAGCTTAGCCACAGTGGGACTGGCCTGGCTTAGGTGGGGTACAGAATAGGTGCTGAACCCTGGCAACCTCTTACCTGTCTGAGGCCTGGAAGCTGGAGTTAACTCTGAAGACATAGGGCTGGCCATCAGCCTACCACATGGTCAGCCCCTCAACAGCCCCCTTAGAGACAGTCATACTCCATTTTCTAGACAAGGAAACTGAGGCCTGGAGGGTGGCAGAGCACACAGAGGCTTTGGGCAGAGCTTAGGCTTCCAGCTGTCACTTTCTCTTAGGTCCCTGGCAGCAGGGAGTATGAGAGGGTGGCAGGCCACAAGGGCAGAGCAGCTTGACCGAGGATGGTGGGGAACTCTGGGTGCAGAAGATGCAGGTGTTGCTCTGCCGCAGGTACCAATGGCATGCTCACAGCCTCCACCGGCTTTTCTCACAGGCCCAAGTACAAAGGCAAGTACTGTGTGGGCGAGCGGAAGCGCTTCCGGCTCTGCAACCTGCAGGCCTGCCCTGCTGGCCGTCCTTCCTTCCGCCATGTCCAGTGCAGTCACTTTGATGCCATGCTGTACAAGGGCCAGCTGCACACATGGGTACCTGTGGTCAATGATGGTGAGTCCTGCTGTTCACTGGGACACGGAGGCCCAGAGGGTGGGGGCCTCATGTATCATGCATGAGCTCCATGATACAGGCAGGAGGTCCAGGCATCACCTCCAACCCTTGACTGCTCCCCACTGCCTATTTGGGCATCTGTTCACTCCAGGCTCCCAAGTCTACAGTTCTACAGATAGCTAACAGCCCAGCCAGAAGCCCTAGCAGTTTGTGTTGCTTGGGAGACCTTGGACTACCACTGATGTAGCCCCTGTCACGCCCCTGCCCTTGACTTCTCTTGATGAGTCCTCCACTTCTTCTCCCAGAGAACCCCTGCGAGCTACACTGCCGGCCCTCTACCCAGTACAATACTGAGAAGCTGAGGGATGCTGTGGTGGATGGCACTCCTTGCTACCAGGGCCGGGCCAGCCGTGACCTCTGCATCAATGGCATCTGCAAGGTTGGAGGACAGCAAGAGACTTTCCCAGCCCCAACTGTCCCTAGCCCCACTGACAGGCACTATGTCATCCCCTGGCTCTTTCCTGGCTGTACCCACCCCCTGCTTCTATAGCAAGGCCCCTCTTCCCCACTCCCTCTGGCATTGGAGACCCCACAGTTGGGCCTCATATTCTCAGCCACTGCCACCTTCCGGTCTCGTCCCTGTCAGCTGCCCACTGCTTGTCCCAACATGCCTGCCTACATAGCCCCAGCCAGGAAACCCAGGCAGTAGCTTGACCTCTTGACTGAATTTTAGCAAACTGCCTCCACTGAGAGGATGGGGTTGACAAGGTGATACCTGTAGTGTGCAGGCCTGCAGAAAACACGCAGTGTTTGGTAACAATTCCTCTTCTGATATCTAGTGCTGGCTGCTCCTCCATGCCCAGGGGCCTGGCCAGTGCTTCTTGCCTTTTAAGCTAATGTGCTAAAGGCCTGGGTTTATAGGAGGCCTCGCAGGGAGCACTAACCTGGTGTCTTTGATGTTTGTTTTTGTTTCTGGAAAATCCCACGGGGTACCAGCTCCCCTGCCTATCTGCAGTCTTGCATGGGATTTTCTGCCTCATGTCATGTGATACTCACAACATGCCTTTAAGGGAGGGACTGGTGCTCCCCTTTCATACTTGGGGAAATTGAAGCTCAAAGGAAAAGGTACTCATGTGGTGCTAGACAGTGTGACTGTGGTGGGGCTGGGCCCAAGCGAGGGTTCGTGACCCCTACCCAGGAATTTCTTCTGGACCCTCAGAGGGGGCTGGCAGCCAGCACAGGGAGCCTCCTCTCTGTTTCAGAATGTGGGCTGTGACTTCGAGATTGACTCTGGTGCCATAGAGGATCGCTGTGGCGTGTGCCATGGCAACGGCTCTACCTGCCATACCGTGAGCAGGACCTTCGAGGAGGCTGAGGGCCTGGGTATGGTTGGGACCACTGGGCTACATGTGTGTGCCTATAACCTGGTAGGCCCTTCCTCATGCCTTCCATTTCCTACCTTCCACCCCTGTGATCCTCACACCAACTAGACATGGCAGACAGGATTCCACCTTGCTTGGCTGGGGTCTTTGCAGGAGTCAGGGAGACCTGTCCTCCTGTGGAGGTTTTCCTGTCCCAGGGACTGTGAATGGGCCTCAGTCTTGTCAGAGGGCTTCTATCAGAATTCTGACAGACCTCTGCAGCTCCACATCCTGGTCTTGGAGTTTGAGTTATACACAATGTTTAAGTGCCAACTGTGTTCTTTGTGATGGGGACACAGGTAAAGAGTTTACCAGGTTACATAACCACCTTTGTTGAGGAAATACAAAGGAAGAAGGTCCTGACCTGGGAGCAGGGAAGACATCCCATAGTAGGTTGAGACTGAGCTGAATGATAAGGGACTCAGGAGATGGTAGGTGGGACACCCCAACTGAAGGAAAGCTCATGACAGAGCCTGGAGGCCAGGCGGTGTGTTCAACCTAGCCCTGCAAGGCAAGTGGGCTTCGGGGCTGTGGTGCTGGGCTTGGCAGCTTGCATTTCCTCCAGGAGCTGCAGTCTATCCTGGTGTTACAACCCAGACCTGGGGACAGACTCATATCCCACTAGGATCCCTGTGTAAGCGCCCTAACCATTTAGTGCCTCAGTTCCCTCATCCGTAAAAGGGGATAACAATTGTGCCAGTGTTACAGAGTTGTTTCCTCTGAGTTTACACAGAGGTGGTTAGAGTAGTGTCACACCACGAAGGATGTTCCTCAACAGAAACAGGGAGGCCAGGCTATGCCGGGAGGAGAAGAGTCTAGGCATTTTGACTTTCCAGAATGAGAAAGGAGAAGATAGATCATGCTGTTGCTAAGTCCAGTTCAGTCCTCAGGAGAGCAATGCTGGACCATGGGCAATGGAGTCAGTTTTTGTGGGTTATTTCTGAGACCTTGGTGATCTCTGGTAGATCAAGCACCTGCCTTTGGGGGAAGTCAGAATCCTGAGCTAATGGGATCCTTGGCCTCAGCAGCAGAGTCAAATGGTGGAAAGAAGATGGGAATAGCTGGCCATTTGCACCAGGGCTCAGCCTCTGTACAACCCGTACCAACAGGGTACGTGGACGTGGGGCTGATCCCAGCCGGAGCTCGAGAGATCCTCATTGAAGAGGTGGCTGAGGCTGCCAACTTCCTGGCCCTGCGGAGTGAGGACCCAGATAAGTACTTCCTCAACGGCGGCTGGACCATCCAGTGGAATGGAGACTATCAGGTGGCCGGCACCACCTTCACCTATGCACGCATGGGCAATTGGGAGAACCTCACGTCCCCAGGCCCCACCAGTGAGCCTATCTGGATCCAGGTGCCTGCCTCTTAAGGCTGAGATGGGGGAACAAAAGGGGTCCCCAAGGCTCAGCACCCCCCACCCCATGGCAGGTGTAAGGAATAAGCCCTAGGGCTGTCACAGAGCCTGGTTCTGGGCTAGAGCCTACTGCTAGGGCCTCTGGGAGGCTGCCTCAATTTCCCATCTTCAGAGTGAGTCTTAGGTACAGCCCAGTTCACAGAGGTGGCTGGGGATGACTCCTAGGGGATGTTTACTCTGGAGGCAGGTCCTGGGCAGATGAAGGGACCCTGCACTCACAGGGCCCCCACCTGCCTGCCGTAGCTGCTGTTCCAAGAGAGCAATCCTGGGGTGCGCTACGAGTACACCATCCATAGGGAGGCTGATGTCCAGCCGCCTGAATTCTCCTGGCACTATGGGCCCTGGAGCAAGTGCACTGTCACCTGTGGCACAGGTAAGACTGACTGATCCCTTAGCATGTCAGTGAGCCTGCACATGTGTGAACACATGTAATGGTCATCCTAGGAATTCAAGGTGGGGCTTGCCGTTGGTCCCATTTTATAGAAGAAAATGCTGAGCCCAAGAGGACAAATGAGTTGCCCCACACCACAGCTAGGAAGCAGTAGGTCAGAGCACCTAGCTCACAACCTCCTTTGCTGCCTCCCAGTGCAAAGTGTCTGAAAGGAGACTGCCATGGAGGGGAACAGGGAAGAATGAGCGCTGTTGAGAGGAGGCTGTGGAGGCCTGCCTTCATCCTGACAGGCAGTGGGGCCCATGGAGAAGGTATGGGTAGACAGGGTGTGACCAGGCTGAGCGCCTGTGGTCTCCAGGTGTGCAGAGGCAGAGCCTGTACTGCATGGAACGGGAAGCAGGACTTGTGGATGAGGGACACTGTGACCCCCTGGACCGGCCCGATGACCGTCAGAGGAAGTGCAGTGAGGAACCCTGCCCTGCCAGGTGAGCTCGCTGCCCACCGACTTCTGGGTGACCTTCTCCTGCCCCTGCATCAGGACCCCAGAGGTCTCAGGGAGGAGAGGGGGTAGCTTGTGACCTCTTCTCAAAGCTGAGGTGTCAACCCATGGGTCTGACATGGATCTGGGGTATCTGTGGGCAGCCAGTATCCTCTAGATGCTCTTACTCACACCTCTTTAGGGCCCTGGATGGCTTGCCCAGGTCTCTGCAGAGTATGGCTGGAGTGAAGAGAGCTGTGCCACGTGTCTGGGACCTGGGCTTGGCTCTCTCTGGGGACTGCCAGATTCTCTATGAATCCTCCAGATTCAGCCCTGCTTGAACCCCAAGAACCTGGAGCCACCAGCCTGTTTAATGTCACACTGTTGTCACTGTATCCCTGGCCAGGTGGTGGGCAGGGGAATGGCAGCTGTGTTCCCGATCTTGCGGCCCTGGGGGCTTCTCCCGCCGGGCTGTGCTCTGTGTTCGCAGCGTGGGACTGGATGAGCAGCGAGCCCTGGAACCACCTGCCTGTGAACACCTTCCTCGCCCCCCAGCTGAAACCCAATGCAACCACCACATTCCCTGTCCTGCTAACTGGGGTGTGGGGAACTGGTCTCAGGTGAGTGTTGGGAGGGGAGACAACCTGCCTCTGGTGCCACCATTGGCCTCAGATCTCCTATATGGAGTCTTTGCTGCCTGGGACCTGGGGTGGGAGGGAGCCTGGGGCATTCCTAGGCCAACCCTGTTCTCAAAGCCTTGGGGATCAGGACTCTCTTGGCATGCTATGGCCATCTTGAGCCTGGCAGGGCCAGAGAGGGCCAGGTGAGGTCTCTCATTCTGACATTAGTAGTGAGCAGCCCCATCCTGGCCTGAGCTATGACCTCCCCTGCAGTGCTCTGTGACCTGTGGGGCTGGCACTCGGCACCGAAGTGTCCTCTGCATCAATGATACTGATGTCCCCTGTGATGAGGCTGAGCGACCAGTGAGTGAGGCTACCTGCCTTCTGCCACCCTGCCCACGGCCCCTGGATGTGCTGGACACAGATGGCTCTGGCAGTGGCTCCTCCAACTCTGAGCTCTTCAATGAGGTTGACTACATCCCGCACCACCCAGCCCCACGGCCTTCACCTGCCTCCTCACCGGAGCTGGCCAGCATCAGCAATGCCATTGATGAGGAAGACCTGGAACTGGACCCTCCGGGGCCTGTGTTTGTGGATGACTTTTACTATGACTACAATTTCATTAACTTCCATGAAGACCTGTCCTATGGGCCCTTTGAGGAATCCCACCCAGACTTAGTGAATACAGTGGCTTGGACAGCCCCACCCCACAGTGGTCCTACTGAGTCCCTCTCAGACATCCCCGTGTCTACCACAAGGGCTCCTGGAACTGAGGAAAATGGGGTTCAGAGAGCTTGGTCCCCTAGCCCTTGGCCCAGCCAGACTGGCTACTCCCCATCCCCATTCTTAGAGCAAAGCCCTGCGAACCCCTTAGCCAATTTCTTGTCAGAAGAAATGGGGGACCCTGACCTAGGGCTGCCCAGCCTTTCCTGGCCCCCTGCTTCAGTCAATAACATGGTGACACCTGCTGCCCCTAGAAGCCCAGATGAGTCACTAGTGAGGGAGGACAGCCAGAGCCAGCCACCCCCTCTATGGTCAGATGGGACCAGAGTTTCCAAGGATGAGGACATATTGAGTCATATAACACCTCACGTACCCAAACACCAGCATTCCACATGGCCCCCTTCATCCTCTATCAGCACCATCCATGCCTCTCCTAGTCCTGACATGGTAGAAGTGTGGACAGAAGGGACTGTAGCCTGGGACTCCATGCTGGAAGGTGACTTAGGGCCTGTGCATGGTGAGCTGTGGCCCACTATGGGGATGGCTCCACCTCCACTTCCTCCCATGGGCACTGTGCCTGGCATCTGGGGCAGGGACAGCTTCTTGGAACCAAGGACTCATACCTTTTCAACCCCAGGACTGGGCTTACAGGACCTAAAGACTCCATCAGTGCCAGGAAACTTCCTTCTGACAGCATCAACTGATAGAGGGCACATGCCCTGGGTGACTACCCTGAGCCCAGGACCCTTGGGCCCACCTCAGTCCCCTAACCCTGAGGAGCCACTGAGCCCTGGGCTGCTGCCTAGACCAGATCAAGACACTCACATTAACAGCAACCAGGACCCTGCAGCTCAGCCATTGCAGCCCAGCCTGGCAGAGGATGGCTCTCCAACAGATCCATTGCTTACCAGGAACACCAGTTGGCAAGTGGGAAACTGGAGCCAGGCAAGTGACGCTGGGCCAGGGAGGGTGGGCATTTGAGCAGAACCTTGGGACTCAGTTTCCTTATCTGGAAATCAATAGAGCATGACACAGTTCTGTCTATCCTGCCTTCCTGGGGGAGGGGCACTAGGATTCCTGGGATTAACAAACTGACAGCCATGGTGGGCAGAGACTCCGCAGAGTAGGAGAGCAGTACTCCATGTCTCGTGTAGCCTTGAGGCCATTCTGGGCCTCAGTTTCTCATCTGAGCAGTGGAAGTGAAGCCAAGGGACCATCACCTGAGTCTTGAGTCCTTAGAGACCCACCCCTAAGCAGCACAGGGCTTCGGAGAAGGCAGTACCAATTACAAAGCACAGCCAAGAGGAGCGTCCTCACTGGCTTACACACCCTCAGGAATGGGCACCTCACCCCTGCTAGCCGTGTTAATAAGGAAGGCCTCCTCCCATGGTTGCTAGGCCCAGAAGTGCCCAGGAGGGCCTGGCAGGTTTAGCTGAGACACAGCCAGGCACTGCTTCGGCCTTACCACCCCTTAATGACTCCACCTCTTTTGTTAGGGACCCATAGTAGTCTGAGTTGCAAAGAAAAAAGCTGGCCTGTGCTCCCTTCTCAGGTCCCCAGACTGTCATTATTAGAGAAGCCAGCTTCTATTCAGATCCCTAATTTTGTGGTGGGAGATGCAGGCTGAGGTCCCACCCATTTGGCTTCTTAGATTAGGGCCCAGACCTCCTTCCTTAGTGACTAAGCAGCCACAGAATGGCAGAGTAGGTGGGCCTGAAGGGCCCTCAGGAGCAAGGATAGCTAACCAGGGGCAACTTTCTTCTCTCACAGGCACCTAGAGAGGTGGGTAGAGCAGTCAGTCTGTCTTACAGATAATGACATGGTAGGGCACATCTGAGGTGGCTTTGGGGGCTAGCAAGGTGAGGGTCTGCTGGTGCTTATAGCCTATACGGCCCACAGTGTTCCACCACCTGTGGCCTAGGCGCCATCTGGAGGCTAGTACGCTGTAGCTCTGGCCGGGATGAGGACTGCGCCCCTTCTAGCCGTCCACAGCCTGCTCGCCACTGCCATCTGAGGCCTTGTGCTGCCTGGCGCATGGGCAACTGGAGTAAGGTGCGTGGGGAGGGAGCCCTGGGTCCCCTGGGCTGGCTGGTTAACCAGCAGGGCAGAACAAGCCCTATGCTGTCTGTACTTTATGCTATCCTGTCTTCATCTGTCTTAGAACTTCACTGGGCTTGACCTGGCCTGGCCTCTGCTCCTGTTGCTGTCTTTCTTCTGTACCCCCTCCCCATCGGACTTCTCTTTCACCAACCCACCTTTACTCCATTGGCCCATCCTCTGGGGTTGCCACCCAATGCCCAGGTCCTCTCTCCAGGGCTGTGCCTCAGGCCAGAAGGTCTAATGCCTGCCCTGCCATAAGCCTCATTGGGTCATGTGTGCATGCTCATGGAGTATGTCTATATGTGTGCTCCTTGGTCCCCAGTGCTCCCGTAACTGTGGTGGAGGTTCCTCCACTCGGGACGTTCAGTGTGTGGACACACGGGACCTCCGGCCCCTGCGGCCCTTCCACTGCCAGCCTGGGCCTGCCAAGCCACCCACTCGCCGTCTCTGTGGGACCCAGCCCTGCCTCAGCTGGTACATCTCTTCCTGGAGGGAGGTGAGACCTGGATGTGTGGTGTGGGGACAGGGGATACCCTCAGACCCTGGCTGTGCCTGATGCCTCCCTGCTCTTCTAGTGTTCGGAAGCCTGTGGTGGTGGTGAACAGCAGCGTCTGGTGACATGCCCAGAGCCAGGCCTCTGTGAGGAGTCACTGAGACCCAACACCACGAGGCCCTGCAACACCCACCCCTGCACGCAGTGGGTGGTGGGGCCCTGGGGCCAGGTGAGCAGGGTTACGAGGGTACCGAGAGGACCGAGGGGAAGAGCTCAGAGCAACCCTCAGCAGGGCCACTGGTCCTTAGGCTTTGAAGGATGAGTTGTTGGGCGTGTGCTGCTCCAGTCTCTCTATGGCCACAGCAATTTCAGCAGTGACTAGATGAAATCTTTGTACTCTTTAAGGAGGAGGAAAGATGACTGTGTGCTATGATGTTAGGTAAAACCTTCGAGGAGGGACTTTGAGTTGGGATTCAAAGGAGTTCAGTGATGCCAAGGAGAGGGACAAAGAGAACAGCAAGTGCCACATCCTGAGGCAGGAACCAGGTTCAGGAGATGGAGCAAAGGTCAGCATGGTAGAAAAGGACTGAAGAGTGGCCCCTGGCGGCCAGGGCAGCTCTCCACTGGCTTTGTTTGGAGCTGATTGGTTCAGGAACCTCAGCGTGGCCTGCATTTGTGTCCCTGACTAAGTGACTAGGCAAGTTGCTTTACCTTGCTGAGCCAGTATTTCCCCATCTATAAAAAAGGCAGCACAGAAGAGGGGTGGAAGGGTTTAATCAAGTAGCACAGCAAAGCACAGGGTCTGCACAGTGCCGGCACAGGTTAAATCTGAGAACAGGCTGACTCACGGCAGAAGCCCTAGATGCCCTGCTGCCCAGGGCTGTCGCATATCTTCCACTAAGGCAACTATGGTATCTCATCCAAGTATCTGCCCTGTCTGCCCAGGTCTCTTGGGCAGTTTCACATTCCTTATTGGTCTCATCCAGTCCTTACTGCAAGAGCAGATACTGCCAGTCAGAATTGGGTCCCAGCACCAGGCTTCCTGGAGGGGGTGAAGCTGTGTGGGGATGACCAGTTTTCCGCTGTGATTTCTGGCATTGAGGATACCCTCTCTTCTTGCTCCTGTGCAGTGCTCAGCCCCCTGTGGTGGTGGCGTTCAGAGGCGCCTGGTTAAGTGTGTCAACACTCAGACGGGGTTGCCTGAGGAAGACAGTGATCAGTGTGGCCATGAGGCCTGGCCTGAGAGCTCACAGCCGTGTGGTACTGAGGATTGTGAGCTGATTGAACCACCACGTGAGTATCCCCCATCCCTGGTTCTACCATAGTGGGAAAGGGGGAGGAGGCTGACCAGGAACTGGAGACTCATCCAGCTGTTGCTTACATAGCAGCTGCCGCTCTATCTATAATCAGCTTGAATCACATGGTAACCAGGAGGTTACCAAGGCAAAAAATTGGGAGTCAGCCAAGGGGAATCCCAGCACACAGGCATCCTGCAAGCAGCTTTTGTAGCCTTGGGGAGTAGAGAGAGCCACCTGAGCCCTCTGTTATACCTTGGACAAGCTCTTTTCCCTTGGGGTCTCAGTCCCCATAGTGAGGCCAGGATGTCCTTACGCTGTGTGGATTCCCCCATCCCTAGGAGGAGGACTGCCTGTGGTGAGCAGGGAGACCTCAGGAAGGACCTCCCTCCCAGGGTCCTGCTGCTTCCTGTGACTGTGGGCTTCCTGGCCAGCTGGGTCCTTCTAGAGGAAAAGTCTGAGGCAGCAGAGGCTCTGAATACCATCTCCTTCCTTCCTGTAGCCTTAACTACCCCCAGCAGTGCTAGCCCTGCTATGTGGCCTTGGACTCCATTTTCATCTCTGGGCCACCATTTCCTCATGCATAAAGGGGCTGGCAACCCTCATCCTTGCTTTAGTGGGGTCTGAGGGAGAAGGGCCCACTACTGCCAGGGTACATGCTTAGCTCAGGCTGGGCGACTTTTCTTTCCTTGTGGCAGTCACTGTCCTCCATTGCAAGGGAAGAGAGAAGCTGAGACTGTGTCGACAGAGGCTTAGCATCGTTATGGGCGAAGAGCAGTGCTCGCCTGCTGGCTTGCTGCCCCTGTCCTCAGGACAGTATGTGGCTTTCGGCTGGTCATGAGGCAGACACAGGGCTTCTGGGTGTCAGCTCCAATCTGCCTTCTCTTCTTGCTCGGCACAGCCTTCATTACCAGCTGGCCCCTGGTGGCTCTGGCTCAGGACCAGAGCAGCTACCGCTATACCATTCTTCCCTGAATCCCACTGCCTCAAGGCCCAGGGGAGATGCCACCCCAGGATGCTCAGTGTCTTAGTTTGTTCTTCATTGCTGTGACAAAATACTCTGACCAATACCAACTTGAGGAGGAAAGGGTTTATTTGTCTTACATCTCCCAGGTCGCAGTTCATCATGGAGCCCAAGGTAGGAACTCAGGGCAGGAACCTGGAAGCAGGAGCTGGAGCACAGGCCAAGGAGGAATGCTGCTTACTGGCTTGCTCCCCTGGGCCCTGCTCAGCCTGCTTTCCCATGCAACACAGGCCCACCTGCCCAGGGGTGGCACCACCCACAGTGGGCTGGGCCCTCCCGTGTCACTCATCAAGAAGATGCCCCACAGACATGGCCACAGGCCAGTCCAATAGAGGCAATTCGCCATCTGAGGCTCCCTCAGCCCAGGTGTGTCAAGTTGACACTAAAGCTATCCAGCACATTCAGCCATCCCCACTTGTGCTGCCCTCCTCCTTTCTCCACACCATCCCCATAGCTCCACTGTGCCTCACACCAGGCTTGGTGCTGGTTGGGGTCAGGGTGGGGTAGTTATGGTCCCAGGTACTGCACATGGGGCAAGAGCAGGAACTGAGGCCACAGCAGGAACAGCCTGGACTTACAAAGCCTCCCAGGGGCAGGGGTGGGAGTGAGTGGGAGGGTGGGCTCAGCAGGGGCTCATGGAGTGATTAGGCTGCTAAATAATAGGCCCACCCTCATAAAGAGTTCCCTGTCCCCCAATGAAGAGAGCCAACCAGGGAGGAATCTTGGACCCTAAGATCCTGGTTTCCAGAATGTTTTGGTGACTTGTGGGACTGTGATACAGGACATTTGGAAATCCTGGAAACTCCAGGGTTTGCAGTCACTGTGGTGAGACAGCTGACATGCCTGGTCACATCCGCCTCTCCATGGAGGTGGGGCGGGGAGGAAACCTCCACCCAAGCAGTTAAGCCTGCCTGAGGTCATCCAGGGGGACTAGCGTGCAGATCAGCAGATGTATAGTTTGGAGTTGCCTAAAAGCCAGTGTGGAGGAGGCTGCCTGCTGCCTTCTGCCAGACCTGGGGGATGCCCCGGATTAGGGCTAGCTGTTGCCCTCCTGCTCCTCCACCCCAGGGAGCCTGCTGGAGTGAGCAGGGCTTGGGTGGCGGCAATAGCAGCAGCTTTGGGAGCAAAGCCAGGGGTCTGGAAGCAAGCCACTTCCCAAAATAGCTCTCTGAGGAGAGCCAGCAAAGCATCAGCTCCTGACAAGCAGGACCTGAAGCATCCCCTTCCCCAGGGACCCACACCCAGTCTCGTGTCCACTGATGACTTCTGTGGCCCTGGCCAAGGTCCTCTCTGGACTTCATTGCTACCCAGAAGCTGAGGACCCGTGGGGGTGGGGTAGATGGCAGCAGGGCCACGTGGAGCTAGAGGAGATGGCAGGGCGAATGAACACTGGCACAAGTGTCCGAGACCAGTTGTGGGCCAGGATCTGTTAGGTGCCACGGGTGACAGGGAGATGGGCCCTGGAGTGTACGTTACTCCTGGGCAGGCTTCTTGGCTTCTCATGGCTCCTGAGGTGGTAAGGGATGGGATCTCAGGACCTTTCTTCTGGAAATCTAGGTTCAACAGTGCCAGTAGGCCAAGGACAGGTGGGACAGGGATGGCAACAGCTGGAAACCTGGGATTTGACTCTGGGGAACTCCAGAAACTGGGACTCCAGTTGGCTGCTAATCTCTTTGAGGCTGTTGGGTTATGGGGCAACAGCTTCCCAGGGAAGCCTCACACCCAAGTCATGAGGTGATAAGGAATGGTTCTGAGTGCCTGGTCCATTGGCCCTGACCATCCTGCTGTACCCCTTACCACACCACTTCCCATCTCTTCCCATCCCAGGTTGTGAGCGCGATCGTCTGTCCTTCGGTTTCTGTGAGACACTGCGCCTGCTGGGCCGCTGTCAGCTGCCCACCATTCGTGCTCAGTGCTGCCGCTCCTGTCCCCCACTTGGCCGTGGAGCCCCTTCCCGAGGCCATCAGCGGGTGGCTCGGCGCTAATCAAAGGCCTAGCACAATACCCGTGTGCCTAGACACACAAAGAGATGCACGACACACAGACCTCAGCGCCCTACAACAGGCTGCGGTGGAGCCCCGTTCCTCGTGTCCTAATGGTGCTAACCCCATTGCTGCCCACTGGCAGGCTGGGGACCCCCCCTCAGAAAAGGTATTTTTTTATTTTAACAGTTTGCACATTTATTATTATTTTCCATAAATGAACATCTACCATTTCAAAGCAGTTTGGTCTTGGATTCGAGGATTCTCCAACATGACCCTTTCCCACCTCCATTGTCCAGGGGCTACTATTCTGTCCCTTGCTGGAGCTTTGGTGGACAGAGCTTCTCTGCTTCTCCAGGGACAGATCAGCAAAGCCAGCAGACAAGGAGGCCAAGAAAGGTGCCTAACATGGGAGGAGAATGTCTCCAGGGGGTGGGGGGGACAGATCTACAGAAGGTAATGGGGGTAGGAAAGTCTTCATGGGGGGTACAACTTGGCAGAGGCCCAGGGAGTCCCCATCACTGTCACTACTCTATCTACACCCCTGCCTACTGTGTCTTCCATTAAGGCCAGCAGAGACCTGTGTTTCACGGGGATGGAGCCACATACACTCAGGCCATGCAGCAAGGCCAGCTTTTCTCCCACGGGGATCACCCCTGGGCATGAAAGTGATGAGGTTGGGATGCCTGTGGGCACATGCCAGGCCTACTGCTTGGGAGAAGCTGAGCATGCAAGAACTTTGAAAGGGGTTCTGGGCCCTGGCTAGTGGCAGGAAGGGCTAGACACTGCCCTCCTCCCAGGCTTGGCCCATATCTGCCCCTTCCTTCTGGCAGACTCTTGGCCTTGGCCCTTCTATCATATCCTGTCTCCTGGAAAGGATTATGCCCCTTCTCCAAGTTTGGGGTCCCAAGCTCCAGAGAGGGGAAACCTGTCACATTTTATTTTCAGCTGAGGTGTATGTGGCAGTAAGAAGGCACTTGACCATCAGGGCTGGGAGTATGGGTACCTTAGACGTCATTCCTTGAGACTGACACCATCAAACAGTACCACAGGGCTGAGCCAGTCAGTGCTGCCTGTTCTAGGACTTGCTCTACCTGGAAGGGGCGGAGAGTGTTGGGAGCAGGGGCTGTTGCTCCCAGGGGTAAAGGTGTGTGTTCAGCTGTGGGGTTCCATATACTCCCACCATGTGATCCCGAACATGAACATGGTTTTTCAAGATGAAAAGCCCTCAGTGGAGGGAAGCGATGCTCAAGGACACATACCTGGTACTGTTGGCCTTGTGCCCCCATCTCCTATTCTGGGCTCCTCCTGTTCTGGGCTCCAGGCAGGCCCACACATGGCTTTGCCCAGTTCAGGTAGTCTGTCAGAAGTCACTCAGGAAAACCAGTCACCAGGGGCTTGTGTGCATCCAAGCATCACCACTCTGAGGAGCATTGGCCCTGCTTCTTTCCTGTCAGCAAGCCCTGTAGCAGCCGTGCCAGCCCAAGGAGGCCCTGGGGACCCACACCCTGAGCAATGGCTTCCTACAACTTTGCTCAATCCACTTCCCATGGCAACTCCTTGCAAAGGTTAGGGAGCAGGGCCTGTTTCCTTGCTTCTGACCCACATACAGCAGGGCTGGCACTGTGGTAGAGTCCCAGGGTTCCTGACCCAGCTCTGGTCTCTGCCATTCCTATAGTGCTGTGTCTCAGGTGCTGCCCCTACAGCCTTCCTGAATTCATGTCCCCCAAAAGAGAGCAACTTACCAGGTCTAGGCCTGCTCTGATGGAATCCTGGCTACATCTCCTCATCTCTGCCCCCACCCCCAAGCTGGAAAGACATTTGGTTCTAATCATTCTTGTGTTTTTCCAGTGATGGTGGCGGGGTGGGGGTATCCCCATGGCAGCTGGGCCTGAGCTGTTAGCTCAGGCAGGAGGCAAACAAGCTGTGACTCAGGCAGGTCATGAACAGTTGGTGAGAGAGAGCGCTTGTCTCCTTCAGGGGGTGGAGGATTGTGGGGAGTGGTTGTTTCTCCAGACAGACAGGCAGAGCCTGTGACTCTGACCTCTACCCTCAGCCCTTGCCCACAGCAGAGCCATGACACTCAGAGTGGCCCAGGGCTACCAGTGCTGACAGGAACCTCCTGTCCTTCCTGCCCCAGTGGAACCAAAGGCAGGGACACTCCAAATCAGCAGATTGGCAGATGGGAGCAATTCCTCATAAAGCTTACCCCATGCTCCATGCCCATAAACAGGGCTCTGTCCTATGTGATGACTACAATTCAAAATCATAAATGATGACTACATTTCAAGACACAATGTTATACAAATTAGTTTATTTCTCCCTTTTAAAATTTTATTCCAAATTTTAGCTAAGATCAGCATAGAAAACTGCTATATCAAAGGACAATCGCTTAGCAGTGGTGCCCCAAGTCCTCCTATTATTGTCCAGAGGCAGAGTCTCAGTGCCTCGGTACCGAGGTTGTCTCTCTGTGAGGACTTTCCTGGTCAGGCCCCAGTACATCAGGAAGATGATACTACAAAGCAAGGGGGGCTTGGGCAGTAACACAGTTAAAACCTGACTGGGTGTTGTAGAGTACTTCCTGTATCAATATAACACAGCTAACAAAAAAAGTTAACAGCCGCCAGCTACTGTTGAGCAGTCAGCAAGGCTACAAGTAGCACCCAAGGCTACCTGGGGTAAGCAGATGTGAAGGTCAAGGCTAGGGGAAAAGGTGGCACAGGAGGGGGAGTAAATAGGCTCAGGTTTACATAAATACATACAAGGGAGTTGTGCACACAAAATAGAACTTGTTATATAAAATAGTTGTATAGAATCTAGAAAAACCTTAATAAAATAGCCTATAAAAATATAAATTGTAGTGAAAATATAAAAGTATTAACAGTTGAAATATTAATACTTCCCATCTGATGGGGTGCTGTATGGCACATGCATTTGGACCCACAGGCTGGAGGCTGCACTTTGGGTTTCTCAGCCTTCAAGGCCTATATGTAGGGGCCACAGGCTGCTGCGTGCTGGGCAAAGGTTTGGATGAACAGCAGCATGAGGAGCCCATGCTAGGAGGGGCACTTACCTTGGTGGCAACTAAAGGAACCTTGGGTACTAGAGGGTGGGATAGGTCTCTCGGTGATGAAGGAATGGGAGGTCAAGGCTCAAAACCAGTGGGAGCTATGGCTCTAGGAGTCAGCACCATCCTGTATCCAAACTGGAAGATCAACCATTCCTTCAGTAACCAAAAGCAGGCCAACCATTCATTCTCTCTCAGCTCTCTAGACACTGAGCACTTTATCCCAGGGAGGGCCTTCAACTGCTATCTCTCAGGGAATGGTGTTAACAGGCCACCAAGCCCCTCGGGGACTTTTGTTTTGGCATTGCTAGGGATGGAATGTAGGGCCTCATATGCTAGGAAAGCATTTTACCATTATGTACTTTTAAGATGCAACTTTACAGGGCACACAGGACAAAAGCAGCCCACCGTAAGGGAACATTCTAGCCAAGTATGCATTTGGGTGGTCATCTTCCAGGGGAAACTGACTTGACAACTGAAATTGGACGGCTTTTGGAGCAGAGCTATGGGGCTCCAACCCCAGTCCTATACCTTCAGTTACTGTCACGGAGGCTGACAGCCAGCATTTCACAGAGGGGTGGAGCTTTCTCCAGCATTTGGTCCCTGTGGCCCTGGGAACAGCAGGGAGGCCACTGTCCAGCTCCCAGACAGCTCCTGAAGAAGCCCCACCTCAAACTGCTACTCCCAAAGATGCAATGATAATGACACGCTTTTTTTTGATACCTGAAGAGACAAAGGCTAAATATAGAGACCAGCTTCTTTTACACAGTAAGAAATAAAGCAACTTTTAAAGAGAAACAGAACATACTCTAGATGTTGAAAAACCAACTTGGCCATTCAAGTGCTAGAAAGCTGACAGTAAAAAAGAAACCAGCCATGGAAAAGCACTCTTGGACTGTCCTGTTTCAGTTCTTAGTCTGAGTGTGTTTATACCAACTAAGGATTATTTCAGATTTTTTTTTCAGGTAGTGTAAGATAGTCCATTTAAGACAGTTTCCCTTGTGTAACAAAATGCTGTCCTGTAAGAGCCACCCATCAGGGCTGGCCCAGAAGGAGTAAGCAGAGATAATCTTCCTTGTCCCTCTACCAACTTTTTTTTGGAGACAGGCTCTCACTATTTAGCTCCGGCTAACCTCAAACTCAGTGTTCTACCTGCCTCTGCCTCCAGAGTGCTGGGACTACAGGTGTGCTCCACCATACCTGGTTTGGCTTTGAGAAGGCAGTGTTCCAAGTCCCCAGTGACACCCCCCCCCCCCCCCCCCCAGCTCCTTGCAGAGGTCAAGAATGAGACTAGGAGAGCTCATACAGTCTTGTACTTAAGCAAAGGTGCTTCCAGATCCAGGAAGCTGGCAGGCAGTCACCCCACCACCAACCCAGTAGCTGGGCAGAGGAGACACCAGAGTCTGGGCCGCAGTGGTTAAGCTGTAGTTGTTGCCATCCAAAGACTCATCTAGCACAAGTCACTGCCATGCCAGGCTGCCTCTCAAAGTTTCCCGTGTCTCCCAAGTGGGGATATGCCAGGGATGGGCCTGCTGTGCGGTTTACTTAGAACCCCAATCCAGCCACCCTTAGAGAATTGCTTCTACAAGTCACCTCCCTGATAAAAAAAAAAAAAAACTTTCCACAGAAGCTCCTGGAGTTGTGCCAGGCCCCCAGCAAGCTGGGACACAGCAGCTGGCAAACAGGTGGGCAGTGAGAAGTGCAGGAGCTGGATGCACAGCAGGGTGGGAGCCACTGTCTGAAAGGCTGTGGATGAGGGCAAAGGCTAGTCCAGGAGGGGCTATGGCTGACAGTGTGAAGACAACAGCAGAGGGCTCCTGGGCTTTCTAGGGAGGCTGATTTTGAACAAGAGATGTACTGGCTTTTCTAAGAAGTCTCTTTTCATGGTGACCTTCTGCCCCCGGAAGCAGCCACTCTGAAGCCCTGTGTGCATTCCCCACGGTGCTGCCTTTGAAGTAAAAGAAAGAGCATAGGGAGATATGGAGAAAAATAGGGTTTTTGTAGGGTGAAACACCCATACAACTGGCAGATGCTGTAAACAGGCCTCTGGAAACACTCAACTGGTAATTGCATGGCAAGTCACTAATCAGGCAGCAAGCATGACTGTGATGCATGTGACCAAACGCCGGGGCATGGAGGTGGCTGTAAACAGATCAGACCCCAGCCCCCAAAGCAGGAGATGAGAAAGTGCAGCTTGGCTTTGGACACCTGCCCAGCAGATCCCCAGAGGCCACAGACATTACATTCTGGAACTGAACGGGCAGAGATGTGCCTGCAGTTAATCCTTTTGGCACTTTTGGTTGTAAAGGCAAGAAGAGCAGTGTCCTAGAAGTAGGGGTCCACTCAAGTATCTTCCTCCTCATCGCTGACCAGCTCGCCTTTGTCAGGGCTAGTGTCCCGCTCACGAAGGAAGTCCTCACGGATTGCCTCCAGCTCTGTCAGCTCCAGCCGGACCTTCTCCAAGTGGTAGGCTCGCCGGTTCCGGATCTGGCGCAAGGGGAATGGGTTCAGGTCCCCAAAGGAGATGCTGATCAGCTTCCTGGTGGGGCAGAGGGCAAAGTCAAGAGTCAGCAGAGCTCAGGCGAGTGTTCACAGCACTCCCAGAGAACAGGGGAGGGAGGGAGGGAGGTTGGGAGGGGTACATGTCTCTTGCTAGAGTCTGGTGGGGAAATGTCACCCTGGAAGGTCAGGCCTATCTCTTGCAGAGAGGCAAGGAGGCTCAGTGGCTGAGGGAAAGGCCCTAGATCAGATCCTCTTTGACCCGTTCCTCACCTGCATACAAGTGTGTTATGTCATCCCCTGCCACTGGTTCCCACATGGAGGCACTAATAACCTGGCACTTGATCAGTGACAGCAGGTGACAGTGAGTGTGAATCCTCAGGGCCAGCATCTGGCAGGCCACAGCAGGTGCTAAGGAAGACTGTCCTGGGACCGACAAATGGGGAACAGTGATGATGTCAGACCCCCTCAGCAGAGTGACCCGTGCTAAGACACCATCTACAAAGGCACATACAGCTTGTTAAGGCATTGACTGACAACAAATGTCTTATGTTTGTAACACTTCTAACCACTGGTCAGTGTTTAATGAAGACAGGGCAGAGCGAAGAATTGTCTGGATGCCTGGCCCTGCTCTCCAGCACTCACGGTCAGTCACACTGCTCTCTGGGTGTCGACTCCTGTGCCAAAGGGTAGGTCCCTTTCTAGTCCTGGATTCTGACAGGCCCAGGGCCTTGCTTCCTGACAGGAGGGGATCATTCCCTGCTTGTCAGCTACAGGCCCTATAAACTAGCTGAACAGCATGTTACCAGGGCTCCCCCCTGTCTCCCCAGGGAAGCAAGCCATTTGCTCTTCTGCTCAGCCACTGGGGCTGCATTTCACATCAGTGTGCAAAGGATGGTAGATACCACAAGCCCTTTGATTTCTCCTTTTAACATTTCAAACTGTTTCTCTTGCAAGGGGGTGAAAGGTGAGACAGGCTGGCTTTATTCAAAGGCCAAGTTTTCCCATGTGTTCTGTGGCTGCAAGTACCAGAAGTTAAGGCCTGACCACAGTGGCCCTAGAATGAGGGCTGCCTAGGTGCAGTGTCAGGCGCAGCTTCTCGATCTTGCTGAGGAACATCCAGAGACTGGCCCTTTCTTACCTGCAGCTGTGAGCCACAGGCTCCATAAACTAGAGACCTCATTCTTTGCTACAGAGAGAGAATGGGGATACTAAATTATTAACTTACTCCTTCAGTCAGAGGGAGCCTACTAGGGCATGGATGTAGTACAAAGGGAACTCAGACACTGCCCTTGTATGCACGCACAGCCCATCCTGGATTCCCAGGAGTCCTGCCACAGAGACCAGTTCAATCTGGTTTCACCCAATGTCTCCTGAATGCACCTGGGTACAGATTCCCTTCCTCCTTCTCAGACTACTAGTTCAGGTAGCTCACTGAAACACAGAGACTCCAGAGGTGGAGGCAGGGCCAGGGCACCTACAGCCTCAGCAAGATCCCTAGTGAGTCAGCTGGGACTCATGTACTCATTTGGAAGCTCTTCATCTGGTGTCCTTGACTTTTTAAAAGTCAAGGGAAAACTGCACCACGAGCCATTCACAAGGTGGCGCTGTAGGGTTGTGTAAGTTGGGAGCTGCCTAGCTCTGCCCAGTGGTGACAGGAAGTAGGAGGGGAGTGTATCTCTAGGCAGCTCTTAAATCCAGCACAAGACTGTCAGGGGCCCAACAGTATGGAATCAAATGCTCTCAACACAGTCAGTCATTCTTTTGTTTTGAGACAGGGACTCCCTGTAGCCCCAGCTGGTCTGGAACTTGCTATGTAGACCAGGCTGGTCTCCATCTCACTGAGACCCACCAGCCTCTGCCTGTGGAGTTTTGGGATTAAAGGTGTGTACCACCACACCTACACCTGGCTTGATTCAGTCATTCTTAATCTTGACTAATTCAAGGTTAACAAAAACCCTCAAGGCTCACCCTAAAATTGGCATCAGTCTTTCACAGGCAACCACTCTCAGGTATCCTTTCTCCGTGGGCAAAAAAAAAAATCAATGGTAGCCCAGACAGGAAATAACCATGGGCTTTGGGAGGGAGGGAGCAAAATGGTTCATGAATACTCCAGCTGCCCATACCAGAAACCTAGAGTTCTTCAAGCTCAAATCCTTTCCTCTTCCATCTACCCCACTTTTCTCCATCTGAAGTTGTATCTCTCTAGGCCACAATCTCTCTTTCCTGGACACCTTAACAGTCACTCTCCACTGGTCTCTCGGTGGCCAGTCCTGCCCCAACTTTCTTGTGCCTGACCCTTCAGTAACTTTCAAATACTTTTAGAATGAAGCACAAAGTCCTGAGCAGTCTACAGGAGCCAGGACAAGCCAGCTCTGCTAGGCTGCAGCCATGACCCCAGGCACCCGGGCAGTAGCCTAACTGCCTCCCTCAACTGTCCCTCACAGTTGAAGCACCTGTGCCAAGCACAATTCTCATTACCCCTTCCCAGCCTCGTTCTCATCTAGCCTGGGCTTCCTCATCACTACAGGGACTAAAAGCAGCCTGCTTCTCTCAAGAAATCAAGTTCAGGGGCTGTTCCTTATCTTCGACCCCCATTCCTAAAACAGGGTCTGGTATACCAGAGACTTAGCAAATGCTTTAGACACAGAACCATTGCTTTGGACTGCAGAGTTTGTTTGTTGGATAAAGGATACAAGTATCTGCATCTCAGTCAGTCCTCTCTAATCTTCGGAAGGTCACGGCCCTTCCCATTGCTTTCCCCAGGAAAGGGAATCCCTCTTCCACACTGCAGCCCAGATGGCTCTGAGTCTGAGGACAGCAAGGTCAGGTGTACACCCTTCCTGGTGTCTGAGGACCCCTGAGAACTCACCTGGCATCAAGGATAGTCCGAGTGAAATAACGGAGATACTTGAATATGGACATTGAATCTTGCAATTTCAGGATCTCCTCTTCCTTGTATTTAAAAAGTGCCAGGGCAAAACGGAAAATAACCTGTGGGAAAGCCAGAGAAATCTGTCATTGAGACATTGTGGTTCCAGACACAAGGCTGGATTCTGGAGCTGGAAGTCAGAGGTCTCCTTGGGGCCGGCTGGAGGAAGTGCCTTACAGGCTTGCCCTAGGACAGGGCCTCGAACTGAGGGGCAATTCCCAGGGCTGGATAAGGCCCTTTAGTACAGGAAAACAAGCCCTGTGGTTTTCAACAATTCCACCCAAAACAAAAATGTCCGTATGAAGTTAAATAGACTTTTGTGGAATCCTTTCATCACATTCAGCTGACGTTTATATTCAACAAAGAATTTGGAACTAGAAATCAGTTTACATAAAACCCAAACTTGGGCTTTTTTGACTGAAAATGTTGCAAAGCTTCAACCCAGAAGTAGTGTCAGTTTCCACTGGCGAACAGGGGTCTGACTTTTAAATATGGTGAAACAATCAGTGGATTTTACTAATTTATTTTTGGGGTACTGTAGGTGAAGCTAGCGGGGACAGAGTCCTGGAGATCTTCCAAGTCCAAGCAGCTTTGGAGCAAATTGCTTCTCCTCATCTAAGGGCCCTGAGTGGCTGCAACAACTTGCACTGCATCATATTTACAAAGTGATAGCTACAGGGTCAAATTGGTCACAATTCTCTTCACATACCTACCTATGGCCTAAGAGGAGCACTGTTTATGTCCTAGTTGAGAATTCTTCGTAGTAATGGTAAATTAGACTCTAAAAGAGGCAAGCGGCTATGCTGGCCAGACTTTGAGCATGGAGTAAAATACTCAACTTTGCTGCTGGAGTATAACCCTGTGAGGCCTTTCTGAAGGGCAATCTGGTGGTACCCAGCTCTACAGATGGACTAATCCTTCACCCCATATTTCTAGACTAGACTTACAGTGCACCTGTATACATGTAAAGACAAAAGTCTCAGGAGAGTCAGCACACGTTCAAGAGGCAAGAGACTGGAAACCTAAGTGTCCCATCAAGGGCCGCTATGTACATTTCTGGCTCATCTGTACAAGGAAATACTCAGTGTTACAAAACAGGTCCTGTATGCCCTGATACAGAACTATGTCCACAATATGGTAAGTTAAAAAACACGTATTTTAGCTAGGTGTGGTGGTGTATGCCTTTAATCTCAGCACTCAGGAGGCAGAGGAAGGCAGATATCTGTGAACTCAAGACCAGCCTGGTCTACATAGTGAGTTCCAGGCCAGCTGGGGCTACAGGGAGACCCTGTCTCAAAAAGCCCCCCCCCAAAAAATCCACATATTTTAGATGTCACAAAATACCTAGAGGAAAATACAGAATGAAACTACAAGATATTGTGAGGGACCTTCTTCCTACTATACTCTTATGTTTTGTCTGTGTTGTTACTTACATACAAATTTGAAAATTAAAAAAATGGGCTGGACAGATGGCTCAGCAATTAAAAGCCCTGGTTGTTCTTAGTTCCAGGGGATGTGATGCCCTCTTCTGGCCTCCACAGGCATTGCATGATATGGTACACATACATATATGCAGGCAAAACACTCAGGTATTGTGCTGGATAGCTTTAGTTGTCAACTTGACACACCTGGGTAGAGAGCCTCCATTGGACTGGCCTGTGGCCATGTCTGTGGGGTACTTTCTTGATTGTTGAGTGATGTGGGAAGGCCCAGCCCACTGTGGGCAGTACCATCCCTGGGCAGGTTGTTTTGTATTGTGTAATAAAGCAGACTGAGCATGGGCCAGGGAAGCAGGCCACTAAGCAGCATTCCTCCATGGCTTGTGCTTCAGCTCCTGCCTCCAGGTTCCAATCTTGGGCTCCCTCAGCAATGAACTATAACCTGGAGATGTAAAATAAATAAACTCTTTCCTCCCTAAGTTGGTATTGGTCAGAGTGTTTTGTCACAATAGTGGAGAAACAAACTAGAACAGAAATTGGTACCAGGATCGTGGGGTATTGCTGTGACAGACATGGCCTTGGTGTTTTGGGAAGGATTGTAGAAGTGTTTGGAACTTTGGGTCAGAAAAGTCATTGAGTGCTTAGAGTTTGTTGCTGTAGGGCTTGGAACAGTTATGTTAAAAGAGCTGTGGACAATGGAGGCCTGGCTTGTGAAGCTTCAAAGAAAAGCAGAGACTATCAGGGATGTTCGTGTGATATCTTAAATTGAGAATCTGTAGGTTCTGGTCAGCTGCAGCTGAAGAATCAACTGTGATTAAGAAGAGACCAGAACCTGAAGTAAAACTTTTGCTTTACTGGGAAAATTGATGGTTAGCTGATATTGAAAAAATCAGCTGTAAGTAACAAGAGACCAACATCACTGTGGCAAAATCTTCTGGGAAGTATTTCCTCAGGGTCCACACACAGAAGCTGTGGTCCACAGGGAGCCCGAGCTTTCATCTCAAGCTGGAAGCAGGACTTGGTAAAGTGTGAGTCTCCTGCATGGTTCTGGTGTTGAAAGTATGAAAGGGTCACAGAGAGCAGCTGAGGCTTGGCACTCTGTGAGGCCAGGAAAGACCATAAGTGGAAGTGCAGCTTTAGCTGCAGTGGATTGAAGGGGTCATGGAAAGAATCTGAGGCTTTGCACCCCAAGAGGCCAGAAGAGACCATTGGTGAAGGTGCAGCCTCAGTTTCAATGGAGACCCCAGGTTTTTAGAAATGGCAGGACCTTGGGATACCACCAAGGGCAGCAGCAGGTGTGAAATGGAGCCAGTCTGGGTCTGAGAGATGAGATGTGTGTGCTGTGGATGGCAGAATCAGAGAAGTAGAGCTGCCAAAACCCTGCGGAGCCCAGAAGATGGTGAGTGAATCCCAGATGTCCAGCCTTGAGTTACTTTGCTGGATTTAGGCTTTGCTTAGGCATGCCCAATTCTTCCCTTTGAAATGAAACAGTACTTGTTTGGGATTTTATAGGCACCCAGTTAAGAGACTTTTAAAAGAGACTGTGGGATTTTTAAGGTTGTACAGTCTTATGTTGTGACACTGTTATCATATATTGAGGACAAGAAGTGGAAAGGTTCTGGTTTAATAGTGATGTGTTTGTGTGTCAAGTTGACAAGGGGTCAATTGTGCTGGATAACTTTAGTGTCAACTTGACACACCTGAGTAGAGGGAGCCTCAATTGGGGAAATTTCAAGGACTGGCCTGTGGCCATGTCTATGGGCTATTTTCTTGATTGTTGAGTGATATGGGAGGGCCAAGCCATGGGCAGGTTGTTTTGCATTGTTTAAGAAAGCAAGTTGAGCAGGGGCCAGGGGAGCAAGCCAGTATGCAGCAGTCCTTCATGGCCTGTGCTCCAGCTCCTGCCTACAGGTTCCTGCCCTGAGTTCCTACCTTGGACTCCCTGATGAACTGTGACCTGGGAAATGTAAACCTAATAAACCCTTTCCTCCCCAAGTTGGTACTGGTCAGAGTGTTTTGTCAAAGCAATGGAAAAACAAACCAGAACACATATAAAGTAAGTAAATTAATTTTTTTAAAATTTTTATTTGATGGGGGGGTGTTAGAGGACAACTCAGTTTTTGTCTTTCACCACATGGGTTCCAGGGATCAAATTCAGGTTGTAAGGCTTGGTGGCATTTGCCCTTACCTGTTGAGCCATCCTGCTAGCCCTTTATTCAGTGTGGTGTAGTATGGTATGAGAGAGAGAGAGAGAGAGAGAGAGAGAGAGAGAGAGAGAGAGAGAGAGAGAGAGAGAGAGACAGAGAGAGAGAGAGAGAGAGAGAG